CGTTTTTCTACCCGAGTTTTGTTAGGTCACTGCCTGAACTTCGTTAAGCTTGTCAGTCAGCTTTATAACTGATTTCTTCTATATGCCTGCCTATAACTTGCAATCTTCAAGGTTTTGGATAATGGAATGCCGATTGGATACACCGCAAAACATTATTTCTTTTCACTAAACATTCAGCTGATGATCGTTCTCTGGGGTCACCTAGTAACACCAGCCTGAGAGGCGTAACTCGATTCAGAATGGACGATGAATGCCAGTAAATGAAAGAAAGCCGTCATGTAGCGACTGTCTCTCAGGGAGGAATATTTCCCTTCCCCGAACCGTGTGGGTCATTTGGCTGTCGTTTGGTACAGGAATTTTCATAATGAACCCGCGGAGATTTCATCAATCTTCCTGAGAATAGGGTGCTCATCATTTTGAGTCTTACCGTATGATTTCTCATCAGGTCGGTGATACTTTTCGACTATAATCAAATGGATTTATCAAACCCATTGACCGGTCCCTCTACGAGATTTGGATATGGGTGTGAATAGTGGTTCATGTGGCAAATAACTTCTACCCTCTCACGACTAGTCGATACGTAGGTACCTGTTCTAGTTGTTGAAATCAATTCTTCGGTTCAGAAATCGATGTGTTGTGGACTATGAAGTTTCGGTACGTTGGCACGTTTGTTACCTATCACCACGAAACAACACGAATCCAGTCATGTCCAAAACTTTATCGTCACCCTTTGTTCATAGCTTTGTAACGGCAATCCACTTGGTAATCAGCAAAAGGTCACTTCAGCAAACAACTGGTGTTAGTGGCCAGTAAACGTATTGAAACTCACCCTCAATAGTGATAAGCAATTTTTGTGACACATGTAAGGAACTTGATCTTGCTTTTTTTCTATGGTGACTCTGGTCGCCCCACATTCGCCCCTTTCTCCTCTTACGTTTGTGCTACCCCGTTTATCTAGGAGGAAGCACTACGAGAATACGATGCGGGCCATCTGTACGGGCTAGAGAAGTTTTGGGCGTTCTTGCATTACAGTCGGCGAAAGGTTAAAGTGGAGGACCGGTTACAGGATTTACTGGATAACAAGTACCGAACCTTACAGGATTTCAGGGTCAATGTGAGTTGCTTCTCTTGCTTTGTACACTATTCTAACCCTCACTTCTGGTTCTGACCAGTCCTTATGCTCTCCGTTGTTTTAGTCCACGTAGCTTGTGTTTTATGATTGTAGAGCTGGTATACACTGACTAGGTTGGTTAGTTTCTCCATCGGAAATAGTTAGCCAAAGGCCGCCGCGTTCCCCAGTAAATTTGACGTGCCGAAATCCCCATTTATCAGTAAAGTAACTTTCTGGACCAAATAAGGCTGTATAGCGAAGCTTACTGCTACAATTGGCCTCCACGGAAGAAACAGATCGTTATTGGTAACCGTCAACCATAGTATTGCATGCCTCGAAACCAATTTTGACGTTTCCGCGTTCACGCATCAAAACCAACTGGATTTCGGAACGAGTGCTCTAGTTAATGCGCGAGACGCTATCGATGCGAATTCGGTTAGACATTTTCTCAATAAGAGGAAAGCGATGAAGCTAGAAAGTCCAGGAGATTGGAATGGTTGGGTCAGTCGCGAGTGCGCGAAAGCTGTTTCAGCTATTCCGTAGAATTAACTAAGGAAACCTTCTAGTGAGAAATTAATTGCGTCCGAATAATCAGTTTTTAAGTTACTGGGCCGAATGCCCTCAATAATAAGTTAGTTGTTTCTCTACGCATCTACCCATCATTCATTCAACGCACTTGATTCCAGTCTAGTTGTGTCAGACTAGATGCCCTCCCATCCGGCTGCTACCCCGGTCGAGCTTCCACCACCATTTTTCAACGGAGCTTTGACGCTTGATGTATCTCTATCGATTTCTTGTATACCACTTCCAATGCTGGATGCCGGATGCTACGCCCGGGTCAGAAGATTTCACTCCGTTTTTTATCCCATGATACATAGTTTGGAGTTTTGCGTAGTAACCGTTTCTGATGTCTACTGTGAACCATAAGTCATCCCATTTGCACCTTAGTTCCAGCCTCCTGATGGATTTTTCATCGATAAAGTCCGGCGGCGCACGAAATCTGAATCAGCGAACCTGGCCTGGTCCAAGGATCTCACGACCCAAGTGATCCGCAGTACATTTGATACATGAACGCTTATTTTTTCACATCATCCCTGGCTACCACGGTACGGTTACCGACTATCATTCTCCGAACTCAACAATGGCTCAGGCACCAGCACCATAGTGATGTCATCAGCTCGGTTGTACACAGCGGAAACGTTCTAGTCTACGGACAAAATGTTTGTTCTTCCATTCTCGTTTCCACTGTTACCCATGCTCCGGAAACAATAATCTTTGACATCTCTGAATATGTTGGCATACATTCACGCAACCCTGGTCCCGCCAGTGTTGTCCAGTTGCTTGCCTTTCCGTTTCCGGTGTGGTGCACTGTGCGGTCTACTGTGTTCGTGATGCTTCCTTTGGCCTTTGCCGCCCAAGCTTAGTGCCGCTTACCCTTTTGTTTCTTTCGTGGTTCGGTTTGGATCACCTTAAAAATTACCGCTATGATTATAATTACTACTTGTGTACATACCCGTGGACTGAGTGAGTTACTTCATACCTTGGTACAAAATCGCTTTCAATGATCTTCATTTTTCGAAAAAATGTTCAGTGGTTTCGCGTTCGTTTTTTTAGCTCACCCAACTTCGAATATTCGTTCAAGCATACGAAACCTGTTGCATTATCTCCGACTCTTCGTCTTGCGTTTACTACTTCGCTTCTGTCCCCTTCCTTCTTACCTTTCAGTCGCTGCTTAGGTTAGCCCATTGTATGGCTTACAGTTAAAAGGCTTTATACAGATGCATCTCCTGCTAGACTTCGTTTATTTTCTTCATTTCAGCGGCTGCGTCCTGATTATTCATTCATTCTTCTCTCTATGGCTCACAGATTTCACACACTGAGTAACACTTCTCCCGTCTCATGTTTCCCATTACAATTTAGTTGGGACACAACGTAACTCTTTCACACTGCTATCGTTACCCCCAGTTTCTCCACTTCCCCTATGCATACCATTTGAGCTTTGTGCATTCTTTATCTTTCTCACCATTACTAACCTTTACTACTATTATTGTTGGAGTGTGGACATTTTCATTTTTCCCGCAATGGTTTCTACTCTGCAATTTCACTGTGTGTTTGTTGTTCTCGTGGGCGTGGGTGTGCATGTGTGTGCATTGTTTAGCCTTAGAATACTTGCGCTATTTTTATTTACGTCCAGTCTCTATGAACACAGGCGCACACAACACTGTCTATGTGACGAAAATGACAATAACCCGGTCTTAGCCATTCCGAATCTACATCATTCGTTTTCTGATTTGCGCGCGTGGGTTGAAAATACACATGGTTGCCGTTCACCTGTTTCTGATGATGATTACTCCTGCCTTTTCCCTGGCTGTCTGTATGTTTCACGCTGTTGCACCCCTGCACGGTGCTAGACGGAAACGTGAATTGCGGCTGGAGGAAGGACTCGTTAGTCGAGCATTTTGAAATGCAAATGAAAGCAAAGAAACATAGGGTGACCCGTTGTTTCTGGAGAAGTTCGTAGGGGTAGAGGAATAAATATACCACGAGGTAGTGCCGAATTTCAGCGGATCGGGGAAAGATTAGGCGTAGAAGGGTAACATGATATCATTGGTTTGATCAACATGGCATGTCTAAACTAACCCTCGGTGCTACGTCTAGACTAACGGCGATGGTTGGTGCTGAGAGGGCCAGACAAATTACCCTTACCTCATTGAATATTGAAGGAGGATTCTTCACCGCATATTCCGGGGTAGGTGAATTTGGTTTTGCACAGCTATACGGCTTTTGACAGGGTGCAATGCTTTTAAGAAAAAAGAGAACTTTTTTGCAGAAGGCAATAGGAGACGATATCCATCCTGAATTATGGAGTACTGAATAGACCAGGTGAACCCTGCTCCATCGTTTCATTCAACGAGAATTTTATTTCTCACCCTCATTACCGGTCTACTGCCACTTCGTCACGCTAGGCAACGAGTGTTTTTGACCTATTTTACTTTTAACTCAGTCCATAGTGCATTTTATGGGAAGAAATACTTGCTTCAGCCGACAGTCCAGTCAGGGTGCATTTTTTAAGAAGACCAGTGCGGTGTCAAGCGAAATCGAGTATGACTGTCGTAGTCTTCAATCCTCTGAACAGCGACGTGATGCGTCCAAGTGTATGCAATCTCAGTAGACTGGAATCATCCCTGCCGCTCTTCGGATTTCCGAACAGTCGTTCAGTGGTTAGGTTGTGCTAGCCGGTGTGATGGGGATGACAACTGAGTGATAAACTCCATGAAATAGGAATCGGTATACGGAAGTCCTCTGGCGATTCGATGGTTGAGTATGCTGCAATCGTTCAGCTGTAGCGCCCTTTCGGTGCCTAGCTGCCATGCCACCCGAAGGAAGCACGAGGGCTGGGATACTGTCAGGTTGCCCAAGCCTAGACAGGGGAAGTCGAGTGGCGGAGGTCGGGTTCGAACCACGGATCTTCCGGTCGGTAAATTCGCGCTCTAACCACTTGAGCTGCAATAAGTGAGTGAATATATTCTTGACTTTGATGTGCCGGAATGTTTCTGCTCTCACCAGGACGGCGAAGAGATACGATTCATACGGTCGGTAATACTGATGACTCATCTTGCAACACTAAAAGCTGTGTTTGTGACACGTGCGGTAGCTCAGTGTACGGTATTTGAGGTGGCCGATTGTGGTGCGCGTTAGACCTGCTTTGGTGTGCATCGTAATTTAAGAGATAAGGTGACAACAGGTCTTCAATGGATCGTTCACATAAAATACTCAGCCAGATAGCGGTTGATGAGTACTTAGACCATATCAGCATGCGTTCCGATTGATTTTTTGGCGAATAGCGTCCTATTGTTTGACGTAATCCCTCTTATCTCTGCAGGTACCCGTGCCTCATATCGGCATCACGTGGGCCAAGCGATCAGTTGTCAGTAGGATGACTTGCGTTGGTCATTTGTACAGACAGTCGCAGGCTAATGAAGCAATCCGAAGACACCCTGCTGGTTTCTTTTCGTTTTCTTCTGAGTTCCTTCATTAATACTCGAGAGTCCTTCGTTTTTATCTTCATGGTTTTATCGGGTAGATGCATGAGCTACCGATCGTCGGTTCCATCCGCCACGCTGCATCGTGTTTGCTGTTTTGTAGACACTTTGTTTCGAAACTGAAAGGTACTTTGTCTGCCGTGTCACGGTACCAAGGACGAGGTTCTAATAGAGATGTAACAAACCAACGCTCCCTGATGTTAACGTCTCATGAGCACCGTCTGGAGATTCGGCGGCTGAGTTCAGTGGAGCGCTGAGAATCAGAGTAACAGCCCCCAAATATCTCTGCGTAGGTGGGACTTTCGGATGCTTGCGGCTGTATGCGCTTTTGCCAACGGCGAAAACAGGAAAATTAGGTGATATGGGGGATCTTCTAGAGAGCACGGCTTTCTGGCTGGGAGAGGACGTACTCTCGAAGGCCCGAAGGTCATCTAAGTACTCAGTAAAGCTTCTGTCATTTCTAGAATCACGGATTTGTGCAGGAAAGGAAATGTGAAAAATGGTCATTCTGCTGTAACACTGAGTGCCCAGCCACCATATCACGCGAAGGAAAACCCATTGCTGAGATACTGCCAGGTGGCCGAACTTAGACGGGAACAGTCGAGGTGTCGGGTTTTTACTCGAGCTACTGACCGTCCTGTCAGTAAGTTCGCGCCTTAACCTTAAGCCTTTTCAATTTCGAAAAGAAAATGATGCGAGGCTTACCAGAATTGGAGCTGTACTACATACTTTAGAACTTGTCAGATGGGAATTTACAAACTGGTATGTATATTGGAATACTGAGTTAAGCCTAGTGCTGTAACGCCTTCGTTAGGAAACGTACCCTCAACTTAGTCGGTTAGCCTCGAACTGTCTACTTAGAGTTTTTCTTCAGCTGCTCCTATGGACCAGTTCAGAAATATTATGAGGCAGCAGTGCGCTAAAGACGGTTACATGGTGACTTTAAGAAGTCTCACTGTTAGTCTGCTGTTCAAGCGGAGGTCAGGACAGTTACGCACTGGAGACGAATTCTCTGAAGAAGCAGCACCAGCGCCAGTGTGATCGACTCCATGTCTTTCAGTATCAACACCGACTGTTGTGTCCTGCAGCAGTTGAGATAATCCAAAGACGTCCAAATACAGACAGAGGGATAATTAGGGCCCTGGAACAACGTGTACGGCTCGAAAGCAGAATCGTAAGGCAGTGACCCAACTTTTGGGTTCTGGCACTGACACAGGGCGAGATGGTCCAAGTGTTTAGAGTGCGATTTTATTGACCGGAAGGTCCGTGGTTCGAACCCAACTTCTGTCTCTCGACTTCCCCTGTCTAGGCTTGGGCAACCTGGCAGTATCCCAGCCCTCGTGCAACCTTCGGGTGGCATGGCATTTGGGCTCCGAAAGGGTGCTACAGCTGAACTGACCCTGACTTAACGCCACTGGGTTTACTGGTCATGTCAAATACCACCTTTTGGATGCCTCGACCCTCTGAATGACTGAGCTACAAAGTCCCTTCGAGGTAGATTATCTCGTTACATGAAGTACATAATCCAACCCGCATAGCAAGTCTCTCGCGGACGACTTGAAGTCTATTAAGCCCTGACAGTACGTCGGAGACAATCATCATCATGGACAGTATGATATCAGTGTTCAACACCGATGCTTTGCTGCCGTACAACCATGATTTATTCGAAAGCCTTATTGTGAAAAGAGTAAAGGTGGATAGGAAAGGAACTCAGTGCTACCTTACTACAATCATCCCGAGGTGCCTACACCTCCAGACACTCATTCAGGCAATTCGGATAGAAACTGACAACACGAACGCCAATTGACATCGATTAGCGGTCATTTCTTTCAGCGTCTCCAACCAGACGCAGAGAGTGCCACTCTGTCCCCATCATGGTAGGCGAGTAGAACCGACAGCACCCAAACGTTTAGTAATCTCTTTCATAGCCCTCTGCCAGGTTGGCCACCTCTCCACTTCCGCCACTCTGAACTGGGCACGGAAAACAGCAGATCCGTTACAACCGGGAGACAATATTGGTCAAAAACCTAGTCTTTTCAAAGGCCATGTTTCTGATACATAAAGTAGTATGGGTCAGACTTCTGTAGTGTAAACTCTGCTCTGAACAGACAAACTGACGTCACGCCCGCGCCATAGATGTCGAAGACCGGTAAAAGCTATCCTGGTCTCCCAGATCCTAGAAGCGATTTCTCCACTCTACGCTGGACCTCAATTATCGGAAAGTGAGAAATAGATGTTGCTCCAAGCGCACCCTCTACACTTAGCAACTCTAGTGTTCGGTCTTCTATTAGTTAGTTCCTTTGCTTGCTGGGTATTCCTGCCTTTTACCGATAATGTTGCAACTGATCCAAACACGCCTTTCAAGTTAAACTGTTGAGACATGTTTAAATTCGCGTGTTTTAAACTGTTGGCCGATACAACTGATAAGTACCTCTGTCCACGCAAACTAAAAACTGCCGACAGTTCCCTCTCCGCATAGTCCCTAGCCAATACGACCTCTTCTCCATTGTGTCCACTCGACGATGCGGTAATACTCTATATGTACTGGGCTTATTTTGAGTAAGCCACTCTCATGCCTCATTGGTGGCCTGTGCTCGAAAACGTTTGACACAGTAACCTGAGAGCAAATAAAGAAGGAAAGCAACTTACAACTATCACGATGGTACTTTTATTTCGTTCCCATTTCGAAAAAACTTTTGGGCAAAAGTCAGTCTGCCAGTTACGCCAATATTCCAAGTGAATAGTAGCTTCCCGTTTCCTACTCTTCCGACCAAGAATCCATGTATAGTTGTATTAGCAGAGGTTTTCAGAATGGATTGTGCTGAGTTCACTAGAAAGCACACACTGACTGATACCGTTAACGGTCAACTGCAGTAATAGCGTAATGGAATGCAAGTCACCCTAATCATACAGGCACGTTTGTCACATGATTATCGAACGGCGACGCAGGTATAAAAATGCGTGCATAGCCAACGCGGTTCACTGTCGGTTGCCTGTTCAGCTCGAATTATATCTGTCTGTCGGTCGAAGCTGTTCATGGCAGTCACGAGAAGAATAAAGGTAACGAGCAAAACTTGTTTTCCATGTTCAGTTGTCAGGCTTCCGCATCACTAATTTATATGAAAACACGGGGTCATATCTGCAATAAAATGTGAGTAAAGTCCTCAATGAGTTGTCAAAGGCGTCACTGGGTGGAAAGAGTTGAATCAGTGCAATTTATGGTATTGCCCCTAGTGATAATCATCACTAGTCAAAGGTTGGAATAGTTTTTTCCGCGTGGTTCCGCTACGGCCTCCAGTCTGAGGCATCGTTGATTCTTACTGATAAATTAGAGATTTGGCTATTTTGTGAACTTCATGTTTGCTACTGTTTTATTTCACCAATGTCAATCAATTGCCCTGAGATTGACGTGCGTAGAATATAACACTGACGACGCACCACTTAGAGGACGGAAGAGTTTTCCAATACAGTTTAATCAAACCAAAGGTAGCGAGTTGCTGAACGGCTTTCCCATCCCTACTGAACTCATCAGCACCTGGAACGAGCGCGTAGTAGATTGGACCTCTTCCACTCTTTTTACTTTTTCACAGATAATTTACATTTGGAGGGCAGTGAAACACCGATGGTCAACACTGATGATGATGATGATGATGATGATGATGATGATGCGGGTGATGAGGTGCTGGCTGAGAACCATTAGATAACGGAGGTTTTTTTTCATCGTGAATTCGAACATACGACACATTCATTCGATTCCATTTGCACGGGACTTCATGTCCGCCTGAATGCTAGCCAATCCGGTCGTGACTAGAAAGCGGATATAAAGTTCGGGATTAACTACTTTCCTGCACTCCAAGCTACCGTACCACGAAATCCGAATGAGTTGGAAGTCTGGATTTGTATTGATGGCCCCAGCGCACGCCATGCGAAACAACTGCCCACCGCTACGCAGATTATGGCTAGTCAAAACTGCACAAGTTATATTTGCATCCCTGCTATTGCTCGGCACGTAGTTGTCTTGTCTTGTAGGAGAGCCTTGTGGTCTGTCGGCTATTAGGAGCTTTCGGTGAGCCAGTCTGATGGGGTCGCACGCGTTTGCACATGTTACAATTCAAAGGCTACCATCGTTCATTGTCATACTTCACCGTGCCTGCACTCGGTGGTAGTCTGGTGGCTGTTAGCTCGTCTTCACGCTCAAACATGTTAGCTTGCCGGTACCGTATCACTAGCACTTGTGTCATGTTCCTATCAGCGCGATTGCGGCCAGACTGCTGTTTGAAGTTTTCCTTATTTAACCCCATTTTATAAGTCGTTCTTACCCTGACTCGGCGAAGGGCGAGGCATTCTCTATTGTCTGTCATGGACAGTTAGGAGGACGGTGGTTTGTACCTCCGATATTCCATACTTTTACAAACGAAGTCATTCGTTTGATCAACTGTCACATCTCACCAAAAAACCCTGTCCCCGCCAAACCCCGATAGGAGGGTCCGAGGTAGCATAGAGATTGGGGAATAAATTCTTGAATGGAGTACCCGTAGTCTGAATTCATTCCGGACTTTCCGACTGCTCCTATGTGAGCGTGAGCAGATTGCCGATATCTCGGCCCTCGTACTCCCTTCGGTTTGCGTGACGGCTGTGCGGTTTGCGCTTGCTGTCTGAATGGCATATAGAATATAAATAAATCGTTCAGTGCTTAATTGCCATGCCACCAGAAGGGAGCACGATGGCCATTGTACTGCCAGGTTGTCCAAGCCTAGACAGGGGAAGCCGAGAGGCAGAGGTCGGGTTCGAACCGCGGACTTTCCGGTCAGTAAATTCGCGCTCTAACCACTGAGCCATCTCGCCCAACATATCACATGTAAGCGTCAGATACAGGTAATTATTATTAACCAGGTTTTGCCCCTTAGTTTCTGTGACTTTCAACATAGGAAAGAACCATACTGAGGACCAGTATGTTTGGGAAGATCTTAGTCAGTGAACCTTTTCCAGCCACGGCATTGTATCTGCGAAAAAACCTGGTAAATTACAGTCTTGAGCGTATCCCGTTAGGAAATGGAGTCTGCCTGACAGCTTTGGGAATGTTTACACTTTATATGGGCCGAAATCAGACTTTGGGCGATTGCTTCTGATATATCTGAGACTTTACACAGGAGGTAGCTGCTCGGAACAGCCCAAGTGGCGAAGACTCAGTTGTGGACTCAATTTTAATTTACTCGCGTTGTCTTCTTGGCTGAAATCGTGTTTTGCTGCACAATGTTGATCACTTGAGACCTCAAACGGAAAACGGCATTCGCCACTGGAGTCAAAGTTCAATCGTAATGTGCGACGAACTTGCCTAGGGAAGTGTAGTCCCCGCGATATATCGGGCCAGTTCATCCAATCACACTAACCAGCCGTATGTAGGCTGTTAATGGTCGACCAAGGGTACCAGGTGGTCCCAGGATCGCCTGCGCTCTCCACACATGCCGCCCAGGCGGGTTTAGTTTACCTACGACTGACGACCAAATCTTGTTTTGGATTTGTTCAGACACAGGACAGAGTTATTATGAAGCCTACGTATTTCAACCTTGGCTGAAAAACTGGCAATCGCTAAGGCTCTTGTCTTTGTACTGGTGTAGTACTTGTTTGCTGATTGACTCGACCGACGGCGACTGATCGACTGTCTTGTTAATCGTCCTCTTATGTATTTTTCATGGTGAACTGAGCAATAACACGTACTTGGGTTTTTAGGGNTCTTGTTAATCGTCCTCTTATGTATTTTTCATGGTGAACTGAGCAATAACACGTACTTGTGATTGGAGGGAAATATCGTTGGCAGTGTTGCAGATTTGGGAACGTTGTAGTGAAGTCACACAGATATACTGCCATTGTTGGCGAAGTTTGAGTATCCTTGGCCAGGTTCGACTCAATATCTTTTTCATACGATTGTCAGAAAATAGACGTTACTTTTTTTCTGTCTTACTAAATTGTTGCCTCCTATTTTGTGTTCTGCGAGCGCAACCGGACGCGTTACCTTTAGCTTGTGATCAGAGACGCAAAGCAAAATATCGCAAAAAGCAAGTCTGCTTGCTTTCTGTGTGCGGAAACAAAATGGCGTAATCGATACGAGAACTATTTTGTTGCTGGTTTAGAAACGTACTATATTGGATAACTGTGATGTCACCAGACAAACAAGTGCTGCATGCAAACCTTCCCTTCTGTGGGTGATAGACACGAATGGTGCTACTATGATGATTTGTGCTGAGACATTTGTAACCGAACTACTAAGCTCAGCAAACAGACCGCGGATCACATGTGCAATCTGAGCCACCAGCATTCACCCTAATAGCGTAAAACTGATACTCTGTGTAACTTGTTTTATTTGCTGCTGGAATAAGCCGATGATCATTGCGTGCCATCGATGCAGCACAAAGTCAATGGCTCCTCATCTTTCGGATGACAAGTATTCCCCAAAAGAAAACCGGAAAGCACAGATTTTTTTGGAAGACAATGGATGGGCGCAGATCGTAGTAGCGGTGCTGATCAATGTGACTGGATCTCCGAGCTCAACCCGTACTATCTGCAGAAGGTCAAGCGACACCTAATTGGAGGGCATTACCATGTTTATCATAACTAAGCAGTTGGGACATAGAAGGTGGTATAACCCAACGGTGACTTTACGGTCTGCTAAAGATCCATTAGGCAGGTGCCTCTGTGGGACCGGTGATGGACGGTCCCACCAACTAGCTGGATTTTTGGTGGATGTTCTTAAACCCCTTACCAGAAAACTAATCACTTATATTAAGAATACGATATTACCGATGAAGTTGCTAGAATTTCCTGTGCACATCGCTGCTCTGCTTCACAACGGCGCACTGATGATTTCATCTCGATGGAACGTTTGCAATACGACGGCGAAGCACAACGAACAATTTGACCACCAGCTGAACAACCTGAGCTACCATCATTATCTTTTGTATCAAACAGATCTTGCTGATGGGTTCGCCAGCCTGGTAACGTACTCAATTGGCTTGACAACTTTTGTATCAAAAAACGAAACTCTGCCAAGCTAGAAATCCGCCTATTTTTACCAGATCTTTCTGAATAGATGGTTTCTTAACTGTCCACAAACTTATCTCTCTTCACTTCAGACCGTGTGTGTTAGGTGCCTTCCTCAGACATGATCTCAAATGAAAAAGTCCTTTGCGGTGGCACGACGAGAAAGCGCGCAGTAACCCGGGTTAGAACGACCGACTGAAATACATAATGCCCATGTTTTGGTACAATTCAGTGCCCATAGTTTTGTCCGCAGGCCGGCCGTTCCAAATAGACCAACTTCACGTCGATTGGACGGTTGTGTCACGTGCCACGGACCAAACGAAGGCATAGCCTGACTGGTCAGATTGTCAGCAAATCAGAATCGAGCGCCTATACTTAGGTGCTTCTCGTCCGTCCACAAAGATTCCAGTGTGACCTTGTGGAGCGTTTCATGATAAGCCCATACGTACAAATGTACTGTTTTCCCTTGTTCCCAATCAAAGGTTGCCTCAAGCTACCGTGCATTTTGTTATACCGTAGTGGAAGGCCCGACATATAAGTTGAAATACCGTCTACAAAACAATAGGTTTGGAATTAAAAGTCGTCTGGCGCGGCAAAGCCAAAGAGGGCCTTCGCTGAAGTGACCGACCAGATATAGGCTCAACCCCCGTGGAAAAGCTGCGCACTAATTGTGAACAGCTGGTGTATTTTTTGGTGGTAATGTGGGTCATCATGTTTGTTTCCAATCGGATGTCAGTCACACACCAACTATTCGGCTTCACATTATCGGATGCTAGTACACCGTAGTTCGTCTGGACTGCATCGCTGCTTGTTTGCGCCTGTGCTCGTTTCACTCCAGACTTACATATGCCAAGGCGCCCGTTCGTTCGAAAATGACTGTATTTCCAATTATTTTGTACATTTCATCGTACCAGCTATCTTCGAAAGATACTAACAAGTGTTATTTCGTTTTGTCGTTCGAGATCACTCAGCCTTTACGTCTATTTGCAAGTTGCCGACCGTCGATCGATCCTAAGGACCATCGACATTTTTCGTGACACGTGCGTCCATGATTATAAACAAGCCACGCCCGATGGCAGTTTCACACCGGTTATTCATGATTGGCTTAAACAGATTTCGGAGTTAATACCTGTCGTGAGTCGAAAGAAAGCATACCTAATGACCACCGAGGCCAATTGACTGTGGGGTTTTTATCAGGTGTCAAAAAACGACAAATGCCTGGATTTAGAGCTACGTTATTTCAGCATATCTGATTGGGTTGAATGTTTAAACCGTCTATTTGTTTTGTTTCAGCTCCAGCTGCGTTGATAATGGAACTCGAACACCTCGTTCAATCCATATCACAGGCTGTCAGTGCCTGGGCGAAAGAACTGAGCCACTTGGGGATAGCCTGTGAACGGTGCAAACGCGTACAAAAAGAAATGGCGCGCCTTAGTTCCGGTGATTTTGTAGTCTTGGAATCGCTACCTACTCCTCTATTATCCAACTCGCTCAAAATCGCACTTGGTTGTGCGCAAGAAAACTGTTTCGATACCTTAGATCAGCTTAAATGCTCTGTTCTGAATGTTCTTGATCGTCTGAACTCCCTCAGATCTTGTCTCATACGCTGTATCTCACCCACCGCCTGCAACCCGAATGACCTTATTGAACTTCTGCAAGCGCTGACGGACTTCCAATCAGCTGTTGTTGATGAGTATGACTCAGCTCAGCTGTATCAATGTGACACAGTCATGTCCTTCGGTTTGAAGTGTTCCCAACTTTACCCTACTTTCGATCCTTCAGTTTCCCTCGTTCATAGAATTTGGAACGAAGAAATCCTCGACAAATTGTATGTACTCGGTAATCGTTCCTAGTATTGGTTTATGGTTTTGTTCTCATCTGAATTTGTGCATCCTCGTTGCTTTCGGTTTATGGACTGCAGATTTTTACTTATGCAGTATTATCCAATCGGCATCATTTCCCATTCATTTTCATAATTTCATTTCATACTACTTGCATTCTGTACAGGATATTTCGTTATTTCTATATACAACGTTCAGAGTCTGAAGACTTCGTATAACAGAGCAAATGTGAAAACAAGTTCCTGCTTCCGGTCGTGAGTAAGCGCACTTTGACTATACCATACAAGCACTTGGCAAAATGCACACGATTGGCGGTTGGTTTTACCGGGAAACTATAGTTAAATCTCTCAAAGAGGGTTATCCACAAAGTAGAAGTAGGGGCACCATCCACAAGGTTGTCGAAAACTCTTCGACAACCCACGACCGGTTTTACTCCTGTTGGGGCTCATAAGGTGAGCGCCGTCTCAGCGTTCCCGTCAACCTTATGTTCTACTTTAACCCAAATTTTAGGCAGTCGCCAAACACCAGGTTGCTTTTAACGCAGGAGACTCAACTGAACTGCAGCAAACATATCATTGATAGCACATATGGTCCCCAATCGAGTCCCCAATTATGAATGATTTGTAGGTCAACCTAAGCCTCACGCACCAGTCTTGTCGGCTGTAAAATTGGTTTATCCCATTTCACGTCACATCCACCGCCTTGTGTAAGAGCCGTGTTTCCGGGGCTAGCAATATTCAAATTGACGTATTGCAATGTTTACAAAAGTCAACGATTTCACTGACGGACCAGCGCAAAGGGCGAACTGCTGATCCGCAACTGCACCACGATGTCCACTTCGTTCAAATGACTGACTTTGCTATCCGAAGAAACAACATGTTTCGCTTCTCGCAATCATCCGTGCATTGGATAGCTGTGATTTTGCATCTGACCAATAGGTTTGTTGTCACCCGCGTTACAGCGTGATTACGCATCAGTCGGCTCAATCCATTTGCGCATACCCTAAAAGTGAGTTATTTAAACTGTAAGTACATGAAGTTTAGAACACATTATAAAGTTCTGTTACACTGGCCCCAGTATGAGTCGAAAAAAATGGTTGGTCATCTGAACACTTCAATATGGATAACTAGTATTTCTAGAGGGACCTGGTTCCAAACACCTCGTGGCACTGTCTTTTGAACAGGAATACCGTTCACGGTGAGGATTGGGAGGTTACCGAATTTATCTTGATGGCACCCACCTAGATTCGCCACATTTAGTCATATGAATGGATAGACAATGCTCTTCAGATCGCTTCACGAGTCTGTTCTCGTCTCGTTATGTGTTTGAATATACTTCGAGGCTGCAACCGCTAGAACCAACAGCATCGTTGACATACATTGGATGAGGGAATCAGGAATATGCTCCCAGCTGACGTATGGAGAAAAGCAGGGAACACCGTAGTTCTCAGGAGCACACCGTTGCCATTGAGTTCTCGACCACCCAGGAACGCCATTTATTTCGGTATCTGAAGCAGTCTGGATCAACCTTCTGCAAATAGTTACGGCAGCCAACCTCGGCGAATACTGCTGTATACTCCGAAAACACCATTCATCCAGTAACTGAGTAGACCGGATACGCAACGCCATCCAGCGTGGACGATGACTGTTGATAGGCGAACTGGCGTGTTTCTAGCGAATAAGTTCATTTACATTCCCTTTCGATCACTTTTAGGCACGAGCTTTTGGTCGAAACTTGGTGGCCGTGGTGACGATCCTTGCTATTCTCCATGTATCGGCAATTTTTCCAGCAGGGAAATATTGGTTGCAAAGCTTCAGAGATGATGCCAGCGCATTATTTGAGCAGCACGGGTCAGAAAAGGTCAGAAGCACTAGATCTTCCAAACCTAATTTGACTTACCTGTAGGCTACATTCCCTGCCACCCTGTACGTATGATTGCATGTGATAGGCACCAAACGTAGTGGATGGGTTGGAGACACTAAGAAGCCCACGACTGAATTGTTAAGGTCAGTGTATTCCAAGACGTGCTAGGATTCAGCCAAGACTTTTGTGAAAACCAAAAGTGTATTTCAAGGAAATTATGTAGTCCAATCGCTGTCACACACCGATGCCCGTTTCATCGAAGAATTTTGGTAAGGTTGGATTAAAGAAGCCAAGTCATGCAGGTTTTCTTCGCTTCGATTCTCTATCAACAGAATTTCCTTGTTCTGGTGTTAGACTGTCAGGAACTGCACTAAAAATCACGGTGATTGTATGATGTCTTCGCGGGATATACGGCTAACACCACCACCACCACACTTGAGGTTCATTATGGGGTTGTGAGTTGGACTCATCCCCTAAATGTGAAGAACCCTGTAGGGGCTTCGGTTTGAGTTTCATTAAAAGTGCCGGTAGGGTAGTTGCTTGCTCTTGCCACCGCTACAGCAATCATACACATTGTGCAATTTGGTGACAGTATGCACGAGTAGGGTTACTTGGATTACGTACCTCCCAATTGACAACTTTAGCTCCCATATTAATTGCTTTTTGTCTGGGCTTAATAACCCAGCCTTCCAAGCAGAGCCACACTGGGAACCGTTTTGATCCTACATTGGGTCGATTTCAGTGATCGATTCCGCAGAGTTAACCCACACAGAAATATTGTGCTATATACATGATAAGAAATCAAGGTGAGAAAATGTCTCGTATGTTAGTAAGGTACATTAAGATTATATATATATNTCCCTAAAATGCCCCGTTCTGGAGCATTCAGTAAGTCAGTGCGTGTGGGGATGGAAAGCTTCTGATTTTGTGTACCAGGCCGAAAAACTAGCGTAGGTGGAATGGTGGTGAAATTGCACGCATGAAACGTTCGCGGAGTTGTTTGGTGCACCGTATAACCAAGTATTGGCACCGGTTGCGACGATCAGTCGTCGATACATCTGATTAGAATTGCCGCTCTGTAAACCACGGTAGGCAGACATGTCAAAGTGACGGTATAAACATGAGATGAGTAACCTGTCGATTCACTACCATTACTGCAGTAAATACCAGCTAGTCATCATTCGCACCCAGCGGGGGCTGCTGTCCTTACACTTCTTTATTTTGCGGAGAGAGAAGTTACGAAAATCTGTCCCGTCTTTCCAAACAGGTGTTTAAATGATCAGCATAAATAAATGAACTGTTTTGAACACCGATTGCTTTGCTCGGTTAGTGAACAGGTTTTATTCTCGGAACTTAAGCCCATTCTCCTTTAAGTTTGTCTCTCAGACGGCTATAAGCAATGACGTCGAGCTGGGACCTGCGAGATCTTGCGTCCCTCGGACAGCAACACAAGTTGCATAAGTTTCCCTCGTCTCCTCACCCGTAGCGTACTGCTTCAGTTGTTGTGATGGCACTATGCACACACTGATCCCATTCACCTCCTATCTGCCGAAGGGCAGAATAGAATCTGCCAAACTCAGCGAACAGACTAATGGCCAGAATGAACGATAGTCATCCTATTTTGGAGGTGTAAGCTCGAAAGAAACCAATTTTGGTTCTTCTCTTGGTAATCTCCCTAGGGCAGAAGCTTTGTAACTTTTGACATTTTCAACCATGTTTTAAAATTTCGCTGTAGAACGATGACTGTGTACCCATCTGCTGAACAACTTTGTTTTATCTCGCATGAATCCATTGAAAACGTGTAGTAGCGTTTAAGTAACATCCAGATCATCGTCTTCATTATTAATTATTCATTCATTGTTCAAAGTGGGCGTGTGGAAAGCACATCTCTAAGACTTGCAAGCCCAGCCCGAGCGGTGGGCTTTATCCCCTTTGTAATGTACTACTCATAAGGTTGTTGAAAATCCGTCGACAGCCCAGTACCGGTTTCGCCCTTTTTGGGGCTCATTAGGTAAGCGCAGTACCCGGATTTCCGTCAGTCTTATGTTCTACTTGAAGCCAAATTGAACGAAACTAGTGAGCACACACTCATTTGCAAACTAATTTGGTTTTTCGAGGGACTCACCTGGAACTCAGCTGAATCTCTCGTTTGTGCTGTTTTCAGATAACTGAATGTGCTGCACCAGGCCGCCTCATGTTTCAGTCGCTACGGTATTCGAGATATCGCGATACATGTGTGTTCGCAAAGCACTACTCACAAGGTTGCTGAAAATCCACTGACAGTCCACTACCGGTTTCGCCCTTTTTGGGGCTCATTAGGTAAGCGCAGTACCCGGATTTCCGTCAGTCTTATGTTCTACTTGAAGCCAAATTGAACGAAACTAGTGAGCACACACTCATTTGCAAACTGATTTGGTTTTTTATCCCCTTTGTTTCAGACTGTTTCCGTTGATTACTTACCTATAGACAAGTCCTAGTTCTGAGTACCAATTCGATATATGGTGCCAGCTGCCGATTGGTGCAAAAGATATATTCATGGAATCCGTCACAGTATCGCCAGTCATCCGTCGCCCATATCGACTTCCATTTTTTCACCCACCACGTCTAATATTCCATTTTTTCGTGATCCTACCAACAGCAACGCTTGTTTGGTTTGTGGTCTTATCTTCAACTTTGACACTTCTAGCCAATGAGTGACAACAACCTTCGTTCCGCAAGCCTGCGAAAAGTTTGCGGATATGCCCATAACGCAACAGACATGACAGCTTCGTGTGATACCCCATCAGAGGCGATAGCGCAGACGGGTGTGAACGCAAACGGTCAGAATAATCACGCAATGCTGCCTTACGCAGCTACGAAAACTGATCGGAATGATTGCGAAAGGCACTGAAGTCGGCCTCCTCCTAATCTAACCATAGCTGAAATGTGTGCACAAGTACACGGAAATTAGCTGTTCTCTTTTGAAAGCCGTGGATCTGTGACGGTCATCAAGCTAAACACCACATGACTGAAAGGAATTCATCAAGTCGCAAAACAATCCAAGAAAAACGTCATTAACAATGGACTGAAAACAAGTGATTGTGAAATGCTAGTTCGTATTTGATGAAAGCATACCTTTATCAATAGAGTGAGATATTTTCTACAAAGATTCAGCGAAGCACCGATCCTCGATAGCATGACTTTCGTCCACATTTACATTTTTAAAAAAAAATCGATATTATAACTGGATTGAACTTCGTGACTCCATAAACTTGACCAACGAATGGGTAATCCATCGTCCAATAAAGTGTTCCCCAGCACATGGATGCCTAAAAAAAGTTGTGATGAGAGGCAGTTTGATGAGA